ATAAAAACTAAATTATCTGTAATCAGCACTGACACACCTGCTTTCTTTTGGCTTCCGTTTGCTTGAAATATTGTCCTCCACCCCCTTACCTTTAGTCTAATTGCATCCTTGCAGGTTAGATATCTTTCCTGAAGGCAGCAGATACTTGGCTTGTGTTTTTTTATCCATTCAGCCAGCCTATGTCTCTTGAGTGGGGAGTTCAAGACATTCACATTTATTAAGAGAACTGATAGGTAGGTCTGATTTCTGTTCATTATGTCGGGTTGAACTTTGCTGCTTTGTTTTCTCTCTTGAGCCATTGTAGTGTCTGGGCTTTTATCTTTAGCTTTGAGTAGATTTACATTCGTGAGTGTTTATTGTGCTGATCCGTTGGTAACACTGTTTTGAGTACTTCTTGAAGGGCTGGTCTTGTCTTGGTGAATTCCCTCAGTCTTTGCTTATCTGAGAATGTCTTGATTTCTCCTTCATATACGAAGCTTAGTTTTGCACAGAATAAGATTCTAGGCTGGGCATTGTTTTGTTTCAGAAGAATGAGAATGGGGCCCTAGTCTCTCCTTGCTTGTAAAGTCTCAGTAGAGAAGTCTGGTGTTATTCGAATTGGCTTTCCTTTGTATGTTACTTGCTTCTTTCGTCTTACAGCTCTTAGAAGGACCTCTTTAGTTGATATTTTGGTCAGTCTGATAACTGCATGTCGTGACATCTTCCTGTTTGCATTGAATCTCCCAGAGGTCCTCTGAGCTTCTTGAACTTGTATATTGAGATTTTGAGCAAGGCCTGAGAAATTTTCCTCTATTATATCTTCAGATAGCTTGTCCAACCCTTGAGTGTTGTCTTCTTCCCCTTCAGGTAATCCTATGACCCTCACGTTAGGTTTCTTCACATAATCCCACATCTCTTGTAGGCTTTGCTCTTTTCTCTTGTTTCTCTGCTCTATCTCTATGACTGATTTATTTAATTGGAAGGTGTTATCTTCAATCTCTGAGATTCTTTTTTCTGTTTGATCTACCCTGTTCTTGAGGCTTTCCACTGTATTTTGTAGTTCCCTGAATTGATTTTTCATTTCCAGGAGTTCAGTTAAACTTTTTTTCATTGTATCGATATCTTTAGTTAATTTTTGTTCCAGGTCCTGGAGGCTTTTTGTGGTTTCTATGTGTTAGTTATGGAGTTGTTCTTGCAGGTCGTTGAATTTTCTTATGATCCACATTCGAAATTCCTCTTCTGTCATTTTGTTTGCCGATTTTGGTTGGTGTCTGTTTCTAAGGGGCTGGTGCTCCTCTTTGGGGGTGTGGTTTCCATTTGGTTCTTCATATTTCCAGAGTTCCTTCGCTGATTACTTCTCATGTTGATCAGTTGTTGCTTCTTGCCTGTAGGTTTTTGTTTGGGTATTCACATGCCTTGTTTAGTTTCTTAGCCGTTAGGTGGTGTCTGTGGGTGAGATTCGACCACTCCCTGTATGATGAGTCAGTAGGTGCTGTGAAAAGGGTGTGCAGGATGTCCTCCCTGTCAGTAGGTGGTGCTTACTCGGAGGAACAGGCTACACTGTTGTTTTTGTGTCCTGTAACCAGCTCTTGTTCCTCTAGAGAGGCACTCTAGTGCCTCAGGTGGTGGGTGGGTCCCTTGGACTTCTAGGTGTGTCCTTTTCTCCCCCTCAGTGAGAACTGGTCTAGGAGAGAGTCTGGGCAGAGCTGGGTTGTGTAAGCCTGTTGTCAGGCACCACCAATGCCGTTAGCAGGGGTCAAAGTTCTGTTCTCTGCTTCCAGGGAAAGTTGTCAGGGAGGGGCTGGAATGGCCCCGCTCAGTCAGAAAGTCTGCTTGTGGGGATGGGGCTGTCTGAGACCCGCAGTCTGGAGTGGGCCTCGCTTCTTTCCACCCTCCCCAACTCCGCAGCTACTCCTGGGCCTCTCCCAGCAGGCCCGACCTCACGCCACCAGGCCTGCCCTGGCTGTGATGCTGGCAGGGAGCTTCCCTGCGCAGGAACACCACCTGGGCTGCATGCACGGCCCCCCTTTGGGAGGAGGGTTGCCCTCTAGGACACTGATCTGCCCCCGAAGGCACACACACCTCAGTAGGCTGTTCGTGTATATCCCTTGTGTGCCCTGGGCAATGCGCGACCTGGGTGCACGAGATCTGGTCTTGAAGGTCTGACCTCTGGGTCCCAGAGTTCAAACTATTTCCCCACCAGGGAGAGGAGTGCCAGTCCCAATTCGCCCACAGGGAGCCTAAGCTGGGTCTATTTCTCTCAGCCTCAGGGTCTACCCCGTTCTCCTGGGATCACAGTGCCAGCAGTACCCGAGAGGGCTGGCGGGTAGGGAGCTCACCATCTGAATTCCCCTCAGTCAGCTGTAGGGCCCCAAAAGGGAAGTCCATTGAGGTGCCTCTGGCTGGTGGCTATATTGTCCCTCTCAGCAGCTGCTTATAGGGTTGGGGGAGGAGAGAATGAGGCAATATGGTGCCTGCCCTGAGGCTCGGGTCTGTGAACAGGGAGGTGCCTGCGGGACTTGGGAGCCTAGTGCCACGTCCACCACAGGCTTACTACTCATTGGCGGTGGCAGTCTCTGGGCTGGTGTCTGCAGGTCTCTCCACCCGCTAGGGAGCCCACCAGCAGTCCGAGATGCAGGGAGGGGAAAGTTAACCTCACCACCTTCCCTTGCTACTGGTCTCCAGGCTGCTCCAGAGGTCTCTGCTTTGAGTTCTCCTGCGGAGGAGTTCTCCTCCTGTGGAGTCTCCCGTGGTCTCAGGTACCCTCCTTCCAACCCTCATCTGATGTATGCTTGTCTTCTTGCTTCTTTCTTCTAATTTGTGCTAGAATCTGGCTTTTCTGCAGAGACACTCTGTCTGGCGGTGTTTCTCATCCGCCATCTTGATTATCCTCCCTAAATACATCTTAATATTGTTCTCTACTACCTTAACACATTAACTGCCATGTGAGTTGTATTTAACTCATGCTAGTTTTGAGCCAGGGGCCTCATGAAGTGTATGTAGCTCACGCATCTCTTCATCTTGGAAACCCCAAGAACTATTTTTCAAGCTGTGTATAACTCATGCACAGAAAACAATAAAAAATAATAAATTTTTCATTAAATTTGAAAGAACCATTTCAGTTTCATAATTTTTATTCTATTTTCATAATAAAACACCATGGCCCCAAGGAAAAATATTTTTTTTTCTAGTGTAGTACTCAATGTGTTAATCCAAGCCACCATTACTTTCAGGTGGGCTACTATGTTAGCATCATATCCTGTCTAAATTTACCCTACAACAGTCCAATTCTCACATATTATTTTTGAAAGTATTTTGAGTTTTACATTTTGTTCCTTTGGAAAACCCTCGAAATACTAACAAACCCTATAACGTCTGATTGTTCCTCATCTCTCTAGCCTCTTCTCTTCATGGTCTGCTTCAGCGAGTTTGGCTTTGTGCACACTCGTCTCCCGATCCCAGGCAAGCTGCAGTGAACTCTATGACCTTTCCCATTTGTAGTTCCCTCAGTCTTGAAGGCTCTTTCTCTGCTTCGCTTATTTCCTGTGGCTAACTTCCTCCGTAAACAACATCCCTCTGGCAAGCCTTTCCCAACTCGTCCTCCCGCACAGGTGTCCACGGGTTATGATTAGATAGCAATATAACTTGTGTAATGTCTGGTTCTCCAGTTAGAATATGAGTTCCATGAAGCCAGAGAACATAACCTTATTCATTTTGGGATTTCCAGAACTTTGAGTATTATTTGAGTTATAGTTGATATTTGATAATTTATTTTTCTATCATGATTAAATGTTGTATAAGAAAAAGGTTCTTCCAAGGAGGGGTTCAGAAATGGATACACTTTGTCACTGTTATGGGAGCATGAATTGAAATAACCTTTATGAAAATCAGTTCAAAACAGTTTTTCAAAATCTTTAAATATTTATTTGCCTCTGTAATTCCAAATCTGAATATTTATTCAAGGGAAATACTCAGATATACACATAGTGTGTGCTGTATGTTAAGCATTATTTATATTATTTATAATATTATGTATTATAATATATATATTATTGCTAATAATTTAAAAACTTGGAAATCCTCAAACATTCAACAAATGGAGATCAGCTTCAATAATAAATAAGATTTATCAGCTTAATTTATCAAAATATTTTCATGTAATTTTGACATAAAAACTTTCAGTGATTTTTCTCTTACCTGTCAATAAAATTGTATGGGGAATTCTAAAGGTTTAAATTTAAGAAAACCTTTTTGGAGGAAAATAAAAAGAAATCTTTAATTTAAAATGAAACCATAACATTTCACTTATATGTCATGAGTCTTATATAAATTATAGTGATCAGCTCCAAAAAGAAAGAAAAAATATGTAAACAAAGTTTTTCTGTAAAATCCCATACAAATGATCACTGTTTATGGGTAAGAAGTAGTATTTATCTTCCATTCTTATTAACAGCTAATCACAAAGAGGAGATGTTAAAAGGTCCTGAGTCTGTTTTAAAACCAACATATTATCTTTGAACTATTTTGTAATGCATATAACTCTGCCACTTAATCTGTTAACTAACGTGCTATTTAATGACCTTTCTTTAATTACATACTTTTCTGGATGGGCACAGGAGATACAGAGTATGTATGAGATGTAGTGGCAGCATTCATGGTGCTCATGCGGTCATTAGATAGACTAGACAGATACACATAGCCTTAACATAATGATGTACTAAGGAGTAAATGACTAAGGGCCAAAATAAGGGGTACAGATATCAAGTGTCCAAGGAAGTTTCAGGAGGCAAAGATCAGTGTGGCTGTGTAGTTGTGGATAGCTTCAGGACAAAAGGAGAAGTCGTGGAATTTGCCATGATTGTGAACATTTCCTGAAAAGAGATGCCTCACGTTTTACACCAGAAAATGCCACCCCTTCAGTTTATAAATGAACGGAATGCCTTTAACTAAGCAATGTGAAAGGATGTTGACCAGCAATGCTGACTTGACAATATTCTTTATATTTTTGAATCTCTTTATAGCACTCCGGGATGCTGGCCAACAGTCTATTAATAGTGACTGGAAGATTGGACACTCTGGAGCCTTCAGCTTAGCCGGGACTACTGTTCATTACGTAAGACGAGGCCTCTGGGAGAAGATCTCCGCCAAAGGTCCCACCACTGCAGCTTTGCATGTCCTGGTACGCGGGGATGAATCGACAGCATTGCCTAACCAGCTTCCCACAGCAGGCGGCATTCCAACTGCATCTTTTTAAATCTTTTTACCAAACTTGAATTGGAAATTTAAGTGATAGACATTTAAAATTATTTAAGAAATTGGTTTTCAAGGTTTTTTAAACATGTGTTTAAAATCATGATGTCTAACAGGAATTATTACAAGAGAAACAAGGTGTTTTAGAGAATTCACAGACTCAAAGTACAGATGCATTATTAGGGAATTCTAAGAAACCTCCTTTTTCTAAAAGCATACATTTACTAACCAAAGTGATATCTATAAAAAGAGTACTATGAAATGACCATTGTCTGAATTTGTACATAAATCCTTCTATAAAATGCTATTTTGCTTGGGGGAAATAGTTTGATAAATATATCTAATAATGCTCTCAGTTACCTTATTATATTTTCTTACTAGATTAATGGATTCCTATAAAGAATTATGAAAATTTGAATATTTGGGATGATGAGTTTCTGTACCAAGTAGTAAAAGATTAGGTATGAGTTGTATAGAGTGTGGAAGGAAAGAATTAGGATGCTAGACTCTGTCCAGGCTGGTAGCAGGTCCATGTGTCCCATTGACCTTGATCATGGCAGCTAGTGTTGATGTCATAGGACCCAGAGGACTGAAAACACAGCTGGGGTGAGTTTTCCATACTAGTGGCAAGAAGTCTAAAATTCAAACACTTCAACACCTCCTTAAGTCTACACATGAAACAACTCTAAAACATGATCGATCGTTTATTTGGGGCACGGTGTGCCATATTTTTTAATATTGCCACACAATTTAAGCTGCATTTGTCTTCAAAATTGAAGACATATGTTTTGCTAGTCTAGGAGCCAGAGGTTCACATCACATATTGGCCCATTTGCTTCTCATGCTTTAAGATGCTTGCAAATTACCTTGAGTTCTTATAAAATGCACATTCTGATTCTTTGGGTTTGGGGTGGGGTCTGAGATCTGTGTTTCTAGCCATCTCTCACATGATGCTACTGCTATTGGTCCAAAACTACAATTTTAATTACAAAATTTTACATAACTGCAATTGATATACTTTACCAACAAGAATAAAAGGAGCAAGGTGAGTGGTATGTATACCTTCTGTCCCTAACCTTAATGATATCCACCATTCGTTGAGCACTAAGTATCAGACACTGTCCAAAAGTGCTTCACTTCATTACAGGATTTAATCCTCACAATAATCATGTGCAATATGTATTATTATCACTTGATTTTATAGATTAAAATGGACTAAGTATGAGAACGTCAAGCAATGTGCCCAGTGTTGCCCAATAAGTTATTAGCTGTGAAAAGACCAGGTGTTATTCACTCCTCTTGCTCCCTCTCTGATAGAAAGCTTAGATCCAAGTTCATTGTACCAAACAGCCTTGGATCATGAATATACATACACTATGAATAATTATTTTGTGCATCTCATCAAAATTCCTTTGGATCCTATTATTTAATTTCAATTGGAATGCTTTATCCATCTATAGAGAGAAAAATGACTGAACAAACACTACATGAACCACATCTGGCTCATTTCATGATTGGGTCACTTATAATAACAGCATTATCATCAGCAAACATATTTTTAATGATTGTGTCACAAAATATGCCATCATGTTGTCTGCCTTATGTATTAACAAGTATAACCTACTTTTTAAAAATGGAACAAGACCTGGGCTTTTATACTGAGCTTCTAATTCAAAATCTTAAAACCAAATGTGATAATCTGGTGTTGGGCACGGGGAGTTTCCCTGCTGCAGAATCCTTAATCTGACTGGTAATTACCAAGGTTTTTCCTGGAAGCATGAAGCATAATTAAAGTCAGTGAACTATGTCTAAAAGAAGGTATCTATGTGACCTGGATTTATTCAGTGATCGAAGGGAAACTGTACTTCTAAGATATTTTCTTGAATGACTATTACAGATTGAAAGCTGGTACTGAATTTTGAAAGGCAATACCTTCTGCTGCCATGCTCCAATGTGTCCCTCAGCTGTGACACAGTCACACTTTCCTTTTTACAAAGAATACTGCCAAATTCAAATGGTTTAAGAAAAAGCTAATGGTTTTGTAGCCAATGCCTCTATTTTAAGTAGTATTAGATACTCAAGGACAATCTAAAGTTCTATCAATGAGAAGGCAGTTTATTAGGAAAAATAGGCACATTTTTACATAATTAAATAAGTTGCCAAATAGATGTTATGTATATGTTCACTTTATCAATTTAAAACTATGTAGTAATCTGGTTATAACCATAAACAAAGTATGTCATTTTTAAAAAACTCATTTAAACTCTCTTCCTTTAAACTCATTAAGCTGAAAGTCATTTATAATTGGCAACATCAAATGAGATATGTAAGCCAAAATAAGGATTGTGATGTATTTAGAATTAGTATTTAGAATGTTATGCCTTTGTGAACTTAAAGAACTTAAAAACTATAGTTGTTTTATAAAGGCAACATGCTAATTCCTCGATCCATGCATCAAAATATATTTTAGAAGTTCTGTTGATATGTTGAACAAAATCTTGAGAAAAAGAAATAAAGAAAATATAATAGAAATGCTCATACACTTAACTTTGGGTCCATTTAAATTTTATTTCATGGAGTGCTAACTCTGCATTGCCTATCATTACAACTACCTAGATACAGGTCACCTATTAACAAAGTTCCTTAATAATTTAGTAAAATTTTAAAATTTAGGTATATATGTTTTTTTGTATTACATAGTATTATATAAATTCTTTCCATAGATCCTCAGATCCATAGAGGTGATATATTTCAGGGAATAGTTTGATATATTTTCTGAAAATAGACTGGTAAAGAGACATATATTCTCATTCACTCTTGTTTTCATGCATATGTACATGGATTCATAAGTGGCCATGATGATCCAGTTCTGATCTTTGCACTGGGAACTAGCAGAAAACAAAACAGACTTGGTTCCTGCTTATACTTCAGTTCAGTGTAGCCCATGGTCAGTAATTCCCATAAACCCTTTAAGTTTTATTGGACTATTTACATAGATGTATGTCACTATACAGTTATTAAATTAATATTTCTTAAAATTTCATTTTAACATAAATTTATTTTCAAAGTAAATAATCTTGACTACAAATGGAAAATCAGTAACCTTGCCAAAATTAAAGGTTAACCGTAAGCATACATGGTATGAAATTCCTATCCGCCAGTTAGCTTAGAAGTTCGCTGTCCTCACAGAGTGGGATGATCCCCAGAGTCTTCCATTCTCTTCCTCTGTTGACTCAGGGGTTTTCTGCCCATCTTTTCTTTTTATATGAGTAGAAATTCTACATTTGACATTACATCGTGGGTCATATGTTGACATTAGATAGGACACATTCTTGCTACCACTCATCCCCACCCACCACTAAAGTTATTGTAAACATGTACCAGGCTTTCAGAAACTGTCTAATCCATCAGATTGAAAGAAAGTAATTTGTTATCCCTGACTTCGTTCAGATGAGTTTTTCTTCATGTCTTTAGTGCAGAGGTAAGTATGCATCTCTAACATTTCAAAAACATGACAATATCAACATTTACGAGTGATGTCATGTCATGCCTGTTGTCCCAGCTACTTAGGAGGCTGAGGTGGGAAGACTGCTTGAGCCCAGGAGTTCCAGGTTACTGTGAGCTGTGGCCGCACGGCTGCACTCCGCACTGCAGCCTGAGCGACAGAGTGAAACTTGTTTCTAAAAAACAAAAAAAGGAGAGAGAGAAGTGTATTTTAACAACAACAAAATCTCACATGCACACTGTGCAATAAGCATTTTAAATTATTAGTATCTTAGTTTAATGCTTCACACTGAATGTACTCTGGTTTAATCCATCTGCCTTGATCATTTTTATATACTGTAGGTGCTCCTGTTTCAGGATCAGAGTTACGGTCTTCACTATGAGTACACTGTCCCATCAGACCCTGTTCCAGAGAACCGGAGCTCTAAAGCACCCGAGCCCCTCTTCATGTGGACACACACAGGCTGGGAAGATTGTGATGCCACGTGTGGAGGAGGTGAAGGATTTTTAAATATTTATCTTTCCAAAACATCAGTTGTTTTCTGATTAACCATTGATAATTAAAACAGATCCCAAATTCCTAATCTGTAGTGGATCCAAAATCCATAAAAGATTGGAAACTGAAACTTTAGTATGACATGTTCCATACTTTGTGGTTAAATCTGACTTGAACTGGAAAAACAAAACAAAATAAACAGAGTTGTTACATATCTCACTTAATATGATTACGCATTGCATAAATATGATATATTTGTTTACAGAGCCTTCCTCAGACACCATTCAGGTTGTTATGTGCTGTATTACTACTACGGTATCTTAAAATTTCTAAATCTCAAGTCTACCTGCACATAAGAATGCAGACCTGGATTGAATGTAAAGGTTCTTTGACAGGGCAGCATTAAGTTTGCTTCTCTGTTGTCTAAAAACGTATACTAAATAAAGTTGGCTCTTTGATTCTGAGAGGGATTGGGTCCAAGACCCACATGACTACCACAATTCTCAGATGCTCATGCTCGTGAGATAAAATGGTGTAGTGCAGTCAGCCCTCCGTACCTGTGGGTTCTGCATCCATCAATTCAACCAACCACAGGATGGAAAATACGCACAGTCCTCCTTCCAAATCTGAAGGTTTTGATCCTTGGTTGACTGAATCCATGGATGCAAAACCCATGGATACAGAGGGCCAACTGTGTGCAGAACATGTAATTCCTCAGTTCCTTTAATTTGCTATTTTTAAGTATGCCGCTGTTTTAAATAAATGTAGAAATTTAAATCCTGAAATTGTGCTTTAAGGTTTTTTTTTTTTCAATTTTTGTTTTTGTATTAGAGGTTGAGGAGGCAAAAGAACGAAATTAGTTCAGTGTAAAATGTGAGACTAGGAAATCATTAAATCTTACACATTTATTGTACCAGTAAGACAACTGTGTTTTGCAAGATAGATTGTCAGTGTTCACAGACCGTTTAGGACTAACGCCAAGATAAGATCCCAGATCATGCGATGTCCGACTTCCATTTGTATCCATATGTATAAGCAGCATATTATTTCTGTTCTCATTCCCCCTAATTATCTATGGCTTTGTATTATCAGATTCCTCCTAGGGCTGAAAGGAGACATATTCAATTATATGAAAATCTAATCATGTATACATATATTATGTATATACTATAAACTGATTTATGCAAAGGCATGAACCATTTAGCTTGTTTTCCGAGCAAAGAAATCATTGGCACGAGCAGCCTAAATGTCGCCGCAGTAGCAGTGGGGGAGGCGCAGAAAGAGACTGGATTTGGGGAATTGTATTTAAGGGAGAGGGAGACAGGAAACATACAAATAAGTAATACATGATAGTATCAAATATGATAAGTACTCTGGGTAAAAGTTAAGCAAGGGGGCAGAGATATGGGGCTGTAAAGCCGAGAGGGAGTAGGCACGGTCGCAGATGTGGTGGTCGGCACAGCCTGCACGAGAGGAGCGTGCTGGCGGAGACCCGCGGGCGCTGGGCAGCCGCAGGCGGGCGCTGGGCAGCCGCAGGCGGGCGCTGGGCAGCCGCAGGCGGGCGCTGGGCAGTCGCAGGCGGGCGCTGGGCAGCCATAGGCGGGTGAGGGCCCCGCGGGGCGCTGGGCAGTCATAGGCGGGCGCTGGGCAGCCATAGGCGAGCGCTGGGCAGCCATAGGCGGGCGAGGGCTCCGCGGGGCGCTGGGCAGTCATAGGCGGGTGAGGGCTCCGCGGGGCGCTGGGCAGTCATAGGCGGGCGAGGGCTCCGCGGGGCGCTGGGCAGTCATAGGCGGGCGAGGGCCCCGCGGGGCGCTGGGCAGTCATAGGCGGGTGAGGGCTCCGCGGGGCGCTGGGCAGTCATAGCGGCAGAGGCCCCTGCGGGCGCTGGGGCAGGTCATAGGCGGCGTGAACGGGCTTTCGCGGGGGCCTGGGCAGTCGCAGGAGCGGGAGCTGCAGCCATAGCGCGAGGCATTGGGAGCGCTGCAGAGCTCATACGGCGGGTGAGGCCGCGGAGCGCTGGGCGCATTCTATGAGGCGGGCGCTGGGCAGCCATACGGGCGAGGCCCCGCGGGCGCTGGGCAGTCATAGGCGGGTGAGGGCTCCCGGGCGCTGGGCAGTCATAGCGGGCGCTGGGGCCCATAGGCGGAGGGCCCCGGGCGCTGGCAGTCATAGCGGGTGAGCCCGCGGCCGCTGGCAGTCATAGGCGGGCGCTGGGCAGTCATAGGCGGGCGCTGGGCAGCCATAGGCGGGCGAGGGCCCCGCGGGGCGCTGGGCAGTCATAGGCGGGTGCTGGGCAGCCGCAGGCGGGCGAGGGCCCCGCGGGGCGCTGGGCAGTCATAGGCGGGTGAGGGCCCCGCGGGGCGCTGGGCAGTCATAGGCGGGCGCTGGGCAGCCGCAGGCGGGCGAGGGCCCCGCGGGGCGCTGGGCAGTCATAGGCGGGCGCTGGGCAGCCGCAGGCGGGCGAGGGCTCCGCGGCCGAGCGCAGCTGGCATGGCCCGGAATAGCAAGAATGCTGCAGCATGCTTCTTTACTCTGAGTGATGAGGGATGCTTGTTGGAAGGCTTAAAGAGAGGAGTGGCTTGTTCTGGCTTATGTTTTAAAAAGTTCTATCTGTTTCTGCGTTGTGAGAGTAGACTGGAGGAAAGGGGTAGAAGCAGAGAGAGATCAGTCAGGAGGGTTCCGCGGTAATCCAGGAACCGGATGATAGTAGCTGGGCCACGGTGGTAGCAACGGAGGAGGAGAAGTGGGCAGCTTCTGCGTATATTTTGGAAGTCGAACTGAAGTACATCAGGGTGACGGATGAGATGAGAAGCATGAGGGAAAGAGAGAGGCCAAGGGGGACTGTGATGGGTTTCGCGAAGCAACTGGCAGGGTGACGTCACCACTGACTTGCATGAAATAGTCTGCACAGTAGCAGGACTAGGAGGGGGTTTGACTGGGAGGCCTAGTGGACAGCTAATCGTGATGTAGAGTAAGCAGTTGGATGTCTGAGTGTGGCATTCAGGAGAGCATATTAGGCTAGAGATATACAATGAATGCATGGACGATACTTTAAAATGCTGAGACTAGATGAAGTCACCAAAGGAGTGAGTGAAGAAAGAAGCAGTTAGAAGACTGAGACCTGGAGCACTCCACCATTCAGAGTTTGGAGAGATGAGGAGGAGCCAGCAGAGCAGATCAAGATGAGTAGATGATAGCGAAGGCGAAGGGACATTGCGGGAGAGAGTGCTCTCTGCAAGGCCAGTGGGGAAAGTGCGACAAGGAGGGAAAGCTCAGCTGTACCAACAGCTGCCAGTAAGTATTAACAAAAAATAGTGTGGACTGAGAATTGACTATTACATGAAAATATATAGTATTTTTAAATAAATTATATCTATTATATTTAAAACATGAAAGTCAATGATGATTCTGTACAAATTAATTTTAATGAAGTGTTTGGCTCAAAAGACTAAGGGAATGGATTCGAAACAAAATAGTAGAAAAATCAGAGAAACCGACTCTTAGGCAATTCAGGATACCACTGAAAGGAAAAAACAAAAACATGGCAGTGGCTAGAGGGACTATGGGTCAAAGGAGTTTGTTGTTGTTTTTAATAGGAAAAATTACACACCATTGTTTGCCAAAGTGCATTTTCTAGAATAGAACAGGAAACTAGTGGTGCAAAGGGGAGAGCAAGAAGTGGCTGGAGTAATATCCAGACGGGATGCGATGGTGTCCCATCCAATTGGTTTGCCAATATGGGATGTCCATATTGGCAAAAATATGGACAGCCCATCACTAGTCACAGGGAAAAAAGGTAAGTGTTAGGAGCTTGTGATGATCCTCTTCTGGTTTCATCTGTTTTCTCAGTAAAGGTTATCTTTCTAAGAGTAAGGGTGGTAAAGGAATTATTGGAGTTTTGAAGAGAGGGAAGATATGAAGAAGTCACTTAGAGAATGAGAATAAATGGAGTGGGTACAGGTATTTTTATCGTGTGGAGTAATGGCCCCTTTGAAGTTACCGTCATGAGTTTAGGAGTCATGAGTTTAGGAAGGCACCCACCCCCATCATGGTGTGTCACCCTCCCGCCGTGTACAGCATGCAGGCGCACTTATGGAGTAAGATTGGAAATTGCCAGGTGAGTATGATAAAATAAGAGAGGAGTAAGTGAATGGCCTGAGGTATTACCTAAGGAGTTGAAAATGGTGGACCATGGAATTTAGTTGTATAAGGAGGAAAGATACGGGGAGCTGGAAGGACAGTAGAAAGGTGGTAGGATTGATGGATTCTAGGACTTGGAGTGGTTTAAGAATAGTTAGACTCAGGATACTAAAGGGAAAGAATTGCTAGACTTTGGGCACTAAAGGACTGGAAATATTGGAGATGATATCAGAAAATAGAGCTGAGTTTTGGAGTGGTTATAGTTATTGGTAATAAAATGACCAGGGGAGTTTAGTGACTTACGTAAAGTGAATAGCAGGATCGTTGGGAAGAGAAGAGGGCCAAGACTGAGAGGACTGGGTGTTGGAAGAATCATTCAAATAGATGTTGTAATTCTAAGAATTGTGCCAGGAACAGTGTTATTAAAAACAACAATAAGCTAGGAGCTAAAATCTTAAAGAGACGGAGTGACTGCAGCAAGAAGGGTAACACAGGCATAGTCCGATCCAGAGCTGGCCCTTCGGAAGAAGAGCAGAGACGGTGGGGAGCGGGGGCGCCGCACGGCTCGCCCCACAGGTGCTGGGCACAACGAAGCCACCGAGGCTCAGGGAAGGCGAGAAACCATGTCCTCAGCACAGAGAGGAAGCGGGGACATCCAAAGGAGCAGAGCCAGGGAGCAGCCTTGGCCCAAGCACTCAGAGTTTGTGGTTCCCACGGGGCTCGGGGGACTCGGCCCTCTGGGGTCCCCGAGCGAGGCAGCGTGGGGGCAGGCGGAGGGCGAACTAACCCCGAACTCACTTTGCTCCTGATACAGGACGATTACAGCAAAGAGACTTCAAATCACTTCCTTAATTTAAAAA